CCCCTGGAGATTCTTTTCTTGACCCACACTGGCTGCGCTTCTCTGCACTGCCTGGAATGCCCAGCCATCCTCCATCTCTGCTGTTTCATTCTTCAACTCAATTAAATTCTGCACAGGCTTCAGCTCTCATCTCAGACTCCATTATTTTAATGAAATTTCCAGGTTTCCTCATTGGCCCTCTCACAGTACCCTAAATTTGTCTTCTATAATTATACAGTGTTATGATTATTTGATTCACGTCCTTCTTCCCACAAGCCTATAAGCTCCCAGGGGTCTGGGGTTACATCTGTTTTGCTTGCCATTGTCCCTCTAGCTGTATACAACATCTGACATGTAGCAAGTGCTCAGTTAATACCCGCTGAATGAATATATTGTGGTTAACCACTCACTTAAAAGAAAATATCAGCTTCTACATTGATTCACTTTCAGAGTCTTTGTATAATTCTAGTATAAAGAATATTGACCAGAAAAAATACAAAGGAAATAACACATTATCATTTATAGTAATATTTGCTAACATAATTCATAGCTCATTATGTTCATTGAGGAGTTCAAGCCATGAATGATTCCTTTCCAGTATTTGATGGCACCGCTCACCAGATTTCTGCTTATATCCAGAAACAAGTTTACATTGTCCATTCACTTGAAGACAGAATGTCATGTGACTTGTTTTGGTCACCAAAATGTGAGACAAAGTGATAGGCATCAACTCCAGGCAGAGGCATTTGAAAGGTTATGTGCAATCCACCTAGACTAGTGTCCTGTGGCTGCCATAAGAAATGGCCACAGGCTGGGCATGGTGACTCAAGCCTATAATCCCAGCACTTTGGAAGGCCGAGGTGAGGGGATTGCCTGGGCCCACAGGTTTGAGACCAGCCTGGGCAACTTGGCGAGATCTCATCTCTACAATAAATCAAAAAATTAGCCAGGTGTGGTAGCACGTGCCTGTAGTTATGGCTATTTAGAAGGCTGAGGTGGTAGGATCACCTGAGCCCAGCAGGTTGACACTGGGGTGGCTGTGAGCCTGCAAGCCACTGCACTCCAGCCTGGGTGACAGAGTAAGACTCCAACTCAAAAAAAGAAAGAAAGAAAGAAAAAGAAAAAGAAATAAATAAATGGCCACAACTGGGTGGCCTAAAACAACAGACATTTATTCTCGCATGGCTCTGGAGGCCAGAAGTCTAAAATCAAGGTGTACACAAGGCCACACTCCCTGAGAAGGTTCTGGAGAAGAGTCTTTCCTTGCCTCTTCCAGTTTCTAATGGTTGCTGGCCGTCTTGGTGTTCTTTGGCTGGTAGCTGCACCACTCCAGTCTCTGCCTCTATCTCCACACAGCCTTCCCCTCTGCGTGTGGGTCTCCTCCATGTCTGCATATCTGGACCCCATCTCCTTTCTCTGATGAAGACATCTGTCACTGAATTGAGAACCCACACTAATTCAGTATGACTTCATCTTAAGTTGATTACATCTGCAAAGACCCCATGTCCAAAGAAGGTCACATTCACAGGGACGAAGAGGCAGGACTTGAAAATAGCTTTCTGGAGGAGACAACTTAACCCACAATATCACCCTGTACTGGCAGTCAAGGTGCACATGTTGAAGCAGAGTCTTCCTCAGCCTGAGTCCCAGAGCGATGGCCAGGAGACAGGCTTGTCTCCCAGATCACCTCCTTTCAGACACATGACCCCAAGCAGAGTGGTAGGCTGAATCACCCATACCTGGTGAGGCTTCCCTCTCTCTTGCTTTTTGCTGACTACATTTAATTGATTTGTGTGAATTAAATGCACCTGTATGTAGATCATTTTCTTGTAACGATCGCTGGACTGTGCTATTAATGGGAGATATTCCTATTAATCTTCAATTACTTACTGAATGCCTGTTATATGCCTATCATTGTGCTGGGTGCCAAGAGAGATGCATAGGAAATTAGACACAAGGATTCTAATCACAAGGAGTATACATCTAATCTGGTAGGCAAGACAGTGATGGCTGAGATTGTCAGGGGAGCCCAAATAATAAGGCTCCATAAGAGGTAATCCTAATAGGGTTCCCAGTCTGATGCAAGCACTTTGCAAGTATTTCCCTTAGATCGCATGAGAGTTGTATGTAGCATCTCCATGAGGGTGGTTTTTATACCCATTTCACAGGAGAGGAAACAGGTTTAAAAAGTTTAAGTAACTTATCCAGTGGTCACTCAGGATTCCAATCTAGGTCAGTCTGACTCATAAACATGGGGTCCTATACAGTCTCTTGTATTGTACCTTCATAAGCTTAGCCTAGCTTAAGATGATCTGCTGGAATATGGTATCTACACTGTAAAATACAAACGCTTCGGCTTAATGTCATACAGTTATTCCTGGGCTGAAATGATCATGTAGCAATCACAACAGGTTACAGTAATAAAATAGAATAGAATAAATTACTTTTGCCGGCCATGGTGGCTCATGCCTGTAACCCCAGCACTTGGAGAGGCCAAGACAGGAGGATCACTTGAGCCTAGGAGTTTGAGACCAGCCTGGGCAACATAGCAAAACCACGTCTCTAGAATATATCAAAATATTAGCCAGGCATGGTGTACAAGCCTGTAGTTCCAGCTATTTGGAAGGCTGAAGTGGAAAGACCACCTGAGCCCATCAGACTGAGGCTGTGGTGAGCTGTGGATCCTGCCCCAGCCAACCCAGCCTGGATGAGAGAGGGAAACCCCAAGTCAAACACACACACACACACACACACACACACACACACACACACACACACACACACGTGCCACTCTTCAATTTCTATTTCATTGTTGGTAGGTTGGCTTTCCTACCTAACTTTTTTATGGACTAATCCAAACTCTTTCATCTTTCTCTTTACCACAATTGAAGTCAGACTTCAATTTTCTGACTTGGCCTCGGACACAAAGACGTCATATCAAGAACCGTCATTTTTCCTTTAAAGCATTAAAACAATTAAAAGTTCCAAAAGAAACAACATGAATCCAAACCAACCATATTTTTAAGTGCTTCCAACCTTGTTTCTCAAGACAGCCTTATGAGGATTGTTTCCCAAACAGCTGTGTAAGAAGCCAGCCACTTTTGAAATCTGATTTTTCCTGTGTGGACATATCATATTTTCTATGCTTGGAGAAGCAGGGAATACCCAAGCTGGCATTCAATAGTAGCGAATATGAAATAGACCATTAAAAAAAAAAGTCATAGGAATGTTAAAATCCGTGTTGACTGGTTTTTACATCAACCCGGCAGCACTCCAGCGCTAGCGTTGGCATGGAGACTGGGAAAGGGAACTTTCCACAAGTCTGTCACTTGCTACTGCTTCCACTTATTCTACTGTGAATCCAATTTTAACAATTTTTTTTAAAGTCAAAGAAGAGTTTGATTCCTTTTGTGTCTTCTGTTTCAGGACGTTTCTCAAACATGAAAACACGTGTGGAAAGGTTTTAAAAAAATAAGCCCAAGATTTGGGTTTCCAAACACTCAGCTGTTTAACATTCAGATAATTGTCTGCTGTTTCTCCCCACATTTCGTCTGAATGCTTTGGCATGGGGGAGCCCCACAGTCTGAAAGTAACTTGGTCCCAACTCTCCTTCCTGCCTTTATTGAAGAGGCTGAAGGACGCATCTGCTTTTCGACAGTTTGTGGCTGTTAAGGGACCTGGAAAGCCAGGACTTGGGACTCATTCAGGAAGAAAGCTAGGCTTCCCAAAACGTCAGCGCAAGCAAATACGGGGCGGTCACACCTGGGTATCCTTGAAATCCTTTTTCTCGAGGAAAACAGGCTGAGATTCTTGGAGCCAGGCTAGGGTCAGAGGTGGAGGGCAAATCTGTCACGTGCCCTATCATGGGCGCCTAGAACTCAGTAGATGCTCATCTCATGTGTATATGAATGGTCACATCCCACGGGGCCCCATCGCATCTGTAAGGCTGCACCGTGATTTTCCCGGGCTGGGAAGCCAGAGGACG